CTGGAACAGTTACCCTAGTATAGAATTATATAAATGTTCATCTAAATAAATACCTGAAGCTGACAACAGCAACTACTAATGTAATATGAAACGAACAAAGCTATAGCTTATTATTTGTGATTCACGTCTCTCTCACCATTGAAAGATCATTTACCTTCAGCATCTGAGCGAGTATCCCATGACGAATCTTCTAATGATATTGCGGATCACGCAAAATGTGTGTACGGCAATTACGTTGCAAATTATTGGGAACCTCGGAGCAATTATTAGCATTGGCTACTGTGCAAAAATGAATGAGAGCGGTAGCAATTTCTAAAGCACTTTGACATTGAGAAGTCAATGACTGAGTGAAGGTACCTAATCGTTTGAGGTCAGTATCTACTTCCGAAAGTACTAATTTTAACAGCTTGTGGCTTGGATGTTCAATATCAAATGAAACCCAAATTCTGCGCCAGGTTGACAGGTCGTACTCGATTATCCGCAGTTGACCATTCAATGACGCAAAGTACAACCACCACTATCGAATGGAAATTTTAAATCGTCGATTTATCGCAAATCAGGGGAAACATGTTGTTATTTTTATCCATTTATTTGTGTGATGAAGTTAGTTTGAGTGGGTGACGACGATCCAAGTCACTGTTTACGTTTAAATAAATATTTGCTATCGCCGATGGTAGTGAAAAATTCAACTACAGATGATCGACCAATCAACCTCCTCTGAGGAGCAATGAATTGATCATCATTAAATTAAATCAATTGAGGTACACCGGGGCAAGTGAGAAAACGGGGTACGTTTTTTTTCTTGATTTTTTTTTCGTCGATCTTGTTTTGAGTGCTGAGCACCAATGGTACCGACGCCAGGGAGGCAGCTCCCACACCTGGACCCTACCTATCGACTCAGAACATGCCGGCGGCGCCGACTGTGATTGAACCCAGGCCTGCTGGGGGGAGAGGTAATCACGCTTACCCCTACACTACCGGCGCCGCTTACGGGGTACGTTAGAACGGTGGATATAACTCGTTTTAATGGGAAATTCTAGGGTCAAACCCTCCTGAAGATGAAAGATACAGTGCTACCGCTTACATTGTATACACTGAAAAAATGATTATTGCGTTCAACCCCGTCTCCATGAAACACGTTTTACTAACCTGTCACTTTGAACTAGCGAATAAAGTTACACGCACTCATCTTTTATGAAGCATTTTGTCCAAATTTACTTGAGATAGGCCTGTTTTGCTGGCAGTGATCATCATAAGTAAATTGAAGAAATGTACACGAAAGAGATTGCAAGTTTTAGATAGTTTGCATCAATAGTACATTAATCCCAGAGGTCACGGTATATTAAATTAATAAATGGCCCGGGGCAATTGAGACCTATCACAACAATGTGTTTGAATCCAATGTTATCGATCTTTTCGAGCATGATGTGTACTTGCAGTTTTTTCAGTTCAAAAACGTTACATTTATGTTTAATATACATGTGATGATCATCTGTCACCAGACAAACAAGCTTTTTCAGTAATAATTGCACATAAAACATTTTTCGCTGTGCAAAATAATATATATACCAAACAACTGCATCCAGATTTTGCAAAACGAAAAATATTTATTTACTGAAACTGTAAAAAGTATGTTTACAGAACTTTTCAGGACAATAAATTTTCGCTTCACCATCAATTGAGTGGATTACAAAAATAAATAAATGAAAAACAGATATAATACACCATGTTGGGTACTTTAGCGCTGCTACCATCTATTTGATGTATTGAAAATTTCCAAATAAGGATTATTGTGAATTACACAAGCTCGTAATGCTGAGTGGCTGAACTATCAAATTTTTAAGTCCCACTTGCCCCGGTGTACCTTCTTGAAAAGTAGATAAATTTCAATAGAAAATATTTGGTTTGCCAGTCAACTGTTAAACAGAGCATCAATAAATTGAAAATTGGCAACATAAATTCAAAAGTAGCAGTAGAACATCAATGTGCCATCAATAATTCAAGAATTTCCACACGTGTTAATGGTTTGGTGCGTCCAGATTTCTTATTGGAAATCCTTCAATGGAATGAAACTAGCTCGAGTTTTGCAGCAGATGTCGCTAGTGTATAAATGTTAATGCACACTGGGGAAGTTGGACTTGAGAGTACGTATGAGCATTAGCTTGTGTGACAAAAATCTTATTATTTCTATTTGATTTCCACTACAATGTGAAAAATCGTGTTGAATTTTATCTAATGCTTAAAAAAATGGTATAAATTACAGCAAAATATCGTTTATTTTATTTTTAATATAGAGCTGAGACAAGACAATAAACCAATGTTGCTATTTTTCTATGGCCATCTATTTCTGATGAAAAACTGCGACATTGGTTGTAAATAGAATAATCAAAAAAAACATATTAAGAGACCATACACGCAAACCAAAAATCTATTACAATGAATGTTAGTTCCAGTTCCTATCATCCTCTGTTCATGAACATCGCAACGAATGTTAGCAATTGACCATGCAGGCGATGTAATGGTTTTTTGTCTTTTTTTTATTACGTGTTCCATCTACGCTTTCGACTATACCAGTAAGCTTGTAGAACGACGCACATTGTAGAACATTGTAGAACGACGCACACACTTGTCTCGAATCTCTCCAGCAGAAAAAGCATACGAAGTCGAGCACTTTTATTTCGTGTTGCATCTACGCTTTTGGTCTATACAAGGTACCAGTAAGCTTGTAGAACGACGCACATTGTAGAACATTGTAGAACGACGCACACACTTAACTCGAATCTCTCCAGCAGAAAAAGCATACGAAGTCGAGCATGCGAGAAAATGAGCGCTTCATGTTTGCTTTTAGGCTGACCATATTCAGAAGCATGGAGAGAGCAGTGGAGAAAGCACAGGTCTGCTAGTCGCAACGTCCGTGGTTTTAGAGTCCAGTCGGCAACCTCTTTTCTATTTTTTTCGACATATTAATTTCACTCACTAATACAACTCCACATTTTTCGGTCTCCAATTTTCTTACATCGGACCGCAGCTAGGTATATCGCATCCTCGGTTCATGCGGTCTCCACTTACATCCTCTGATGATGAATCCCACATAATTGTAAGCGAATCTTACATCCACCGGTTGGGTGTAGGGTAAGTGGGTGGGACCACGAGAGAAATGATGCTTTGAAGATTTATTTTTACTAATATAACTTGTGTGCATGGATGATGATGAATGAGCACTTATAATGCCATAAACTCATTTTAAAATGACATAGTGCCAGATTTAGTGATGCCCTTTTTAAATACAAACTTTTGGCATATTTAAAACCATGGACACTTTAAAATTGACAAAACTCGTAGAACAAGAACTTTTTACTAGTACGTGTTTTTGAGTAATTTCTACACAGAAAACGAAATTCTTAGCCGTGTAAATATTACATGAAAAAGTTTGTTAACACTAAGTTTAAAAATATGACCTAAAGTTGATGTCCTGCGATTTAAATACTCCAAAAGTTTGCATTTTTTATGAGCTTTATTCTGAAAACAAAACACTTATTTATATATATACTAAAAAAATACCATATATATTTTTCTGAGAACGACTTTACTTTTCTAGATAACTTTGTCTTAGACGTCATTTTGATCAGAAGTGACGATTTTGTGCTACAATTCACTGGAAAATGTCAAATACGCAAATCGGAGAAGAATCAACATATTTTTTTTTTTTTTCTTCTTATGGCCTGGAGCTGGTATATTTAAGCCCATCAGTCAAATAATCATCAGTCTTCAATTAAAATCAATGCTACTTCGTTTTGTTAATCTAACAATGAATTCGCATGTTTGTCATATTGTACCATCGTTTGAAAACATAGACTTTCAAAAATCCATGAAAATTTGGTTTTCTCCTAAATCTATTAATAAATTTTCCACTATCTCAGAATTATTTTCAAGTCTCTGAATTGACTTCTATTTTTGCTAGAGAGAAAATATTAAAAAAAAATTAATCTATTTTACTAATAATTTGATTGAAATTTTTTTTATTTAAAAGCAAAGTCATTATAGATAGCATTTGGCTAAATGCAGAGAAATGATTTTTAAATTCAAATGGATATGTTTTTGGCTTAGGGCCTAATATATTTTTGGTATTGATTCAAATATATTATTCGGTTAATTCAAAGAAAAATATTTGTGAATCAACAAACTGGCTGTAGAGTAAATAATCTGTTTGTTGATTCTAAAAACCATTTTGTTGATTCTAACATTTGTTTTGTTGAAATAGTGATACAATATGTTTGAATCAATAACAAAATGCATTAGGCCCTGAAACAAAAATCAATTTTTCTGCGTGTACAATCAATTTTTTTAGATGTGTTTATTCCCTTGAATCCAGAGGCGAACCAGCCTTTGGCTGAAAACCTCCTAAATAAAAAAAAATACAAAACAAAAAATATTCCCCAGAAGATGCATAGCGCATGCCGATTTCCATACAAAATGGTCCACTTTGACATGATGTAACTTTGTTCTCTTAAGATCAATTGAGCTGAAACGTTCGCCACAGAACTACAAATATGTTCAATTTTACTATTACAAAATACCAAATTTTTGGAAGCACCTGTTGGAAAGTGCGACACTAGGTAAAATTGTTCAAAATAATAGCAGTTTTTTATTTGAATTTTTATGTACTGCAAATATTCACTATTCATTATTTTGAACAATTTTACCTAGTGTCTCACTTTCCGGCAGGTGCTTCCAAAAATTTGGTATTTTGTGATCGTAAAATTGAACACATTTGTAGTTCTGTGGCGAACGTTTCAGCTCAATTGATCTTAAGAGAACAAAGTAACAACTTGTCAAAGTTGACCATTTTGTATATCGTAGGTAAGGAACACCACAGATACTCAAGTAAATATACAGAAATATCTACTTCAAACCAATAAACGAAACTTCTTCAACCATAATTAAATTTACAAATATATTTAAAAAAAAAAACAACCACAAAACACAACAAATATACACACCACTAAGTGTCGGCAGATGTGGTTGTTTGTCCATCCACTCATGAATCTTTTTAACATCTTCACGTTTTAGATCTGGAAACTTTTTGTATTCGTCTTCCACATCCGCAACTTGCAATTTTCCCATTGTGATTTGTGATATTCCTAAGATGAGTTGAAAAATTCTCGTTTACGCACTTCAGGAACGACGGAACGTTAAAGCACCACCGTTGAAATCGAATGCACTAACCGTGATTTGAAAGCAGAGCTTGCTGATCCAAGCGCTTGTTCAACACTGAACATGTAGCTACAAGCAAAGCTCAAACGTTCTCTACCTACATTTGCTCACCGTCATCATGGTCATCGCACTTAATTGCTATATGGTGGAGGAACTAACGCATTTATAGTTATCGAGAATGAAATAAGCCTACCTTATTGCAGTTCAATATGTCAGTACGTTATACTGGAGAACATATTTTATTACAGTTAAATTTATAATTATTTTGATTGTAAAACGCGTTCGTCAACTTTTGGAACGGTCCCATGACCACCCAAAAATTACTCCTCAAATGATAGTGAACCGCGAACAAAGTAGCGCTCGATTATTTTTCAAAACGTAGGATCATGAATTGATGGACGCTACTGGTACAATTCCCCTTTGAGTAAACTAATCGCTTTTCGTGATCATAATACCACGGGTACACTTTTATGACAAACTATGAGCATGAGCCTTATTTGTATAATAAAATTCTAAGACTAAAACTAAATTGCAAGATCCTTCCTAGACAGTCATTTCAAAAAATTTTAGTACATGAATATTAAAAACAAATGAAATAAGCATTTTTATAATTATAATATGTTTGACCTAATCACCAGGTTTTGATATTAAAGAAAGACAAGATTTGAATCTCCTGGACTTCATTCATAATTCAAGATCTTGGGAAACTTACCTAGATTCTGAGACTTACAGCATTTTTTGAGAGGAAAACTCTTCAAGATAAGAAAGTAAGAAAAAATTAAGAACTAAAAATTTCAAAAAAATCTTGACATCTGACAAAAATTAAGAAAAATCCGGATTACGAATGTCAAGATTCTGATATTTGAAGAGAAAAGTAATACCACAGACAAACAGACGTAACTCTTTAAAAAAGTTTTACTTGAAAACATAGTATCTCAAAACATATGACCTCAGTAACGACATCTCTCGGGCTTCTCGCGGAAAACAAGCTTGCTCGCTAACTCGCAAACAATATTGCATAAAACTTCTATAGAATGTATAGAAACGTCAAAGTGATCCTATGCCAGCGCTGCGGCGAGTAGTTCGCGTAACTGATAATATTCAAATCAACCGTTAAATGCGTGAACGAAGATACACAATGAAGTGTTACGTCTGTTTGTCTGTGGTAATACCATAAAGGTAACTGCAGGTAATACTTTATCCAGATTTCCAGAATTTTTTATTCGATGCATCATACTAACTAACTAGATAATTATTGAATTTATTTTTGCAAAAGCATCCTTAGCCCCGTAGCGTGGGTAGATCACCTTTTCGTGGTACATTACGGGATGTAAGATCTACCACCAATTCCTAGTCCTGACTACTTCAAACTAGGGGAACAGGATTTTTCAGTAATTCAAGGAACACATCTTAGTCCTTGTTACTTTTTATGCCTTGTTGATAGTGACAAGACTCGGCTTTGTCTACCGAGGATGATCTTGAAACAAGGAAAAAAAATGAGTTAGTTGTCTTCATCTCTGTGATTCCTAATCTTCTATTTGTTGTTCCCTAGTTTGAAGTGGTTAAGACTAGGGTTCTGATGCATGGTCATTATCGGTGTCATACTTTAATTTTGTTGCTAAGGAATCCAATTTTGACTGACAAAGGGGCGCGCCTTTGGAGGGTGTTTCAACACTCCGAAGGGTATAAATAGCGGGACCTTTCAATTAGAGTCGGATCCTTGCGATAAATGCAAGAGTGGCAACTGTAAAAAAATCGAATACTTCATCATTTCTCAATAGTGATGGGAGTAATACCAACAATCAATACGAAACTAACGATTTTAAATTGGCTCACCACTTTAGTAGCCTATCGGTCCCAAGCAAACGATTAACGTACCCTATTCTAGTTGAAATTCTATTACTACACTATGTTTGTTTTGATTCGCTATGAAATTTTGACAGATAACATCAGAGGTGTGTGGATTCATGCAGAACATGCAGGGGTGAGTGAAATAGCTTGGGACTGCTTGGGACCGTTGTTCTGGTACTGAGTGAGCCAAAAATAATAATGATTTTCTTCGGGACCCAGTGGTCTTAGAGTTACCTCTATGGTAATACGACATGCACTAAACTAAGGACACGGGATATACTACAATAGATCAATTTACTGGTCGCAGTAGTGTTAGGTCCCGAACAGAGGAAAAAAAAACTTTATCCAGATTTCCAGAATTTTTTATTCGATGCATCATACTAACTAACTAGATACTTATTGAATTTATTTTTACAAAAGCATTGTGATATTATAGTTTTATTTTAAATAGAGTTTTGGTTAAATTAATTCGGTTCCAATTTATTATTTACTCATACTTTATACGAATAAGAGCTTTTTCAATGTTTTTAATTTATTTAATAATAATAAAAACACTGAAAAATCAAGGATTTTTAATGTTATAAGCCATTCGAACTATCTTGCAGCTGAATTCTGGGCATACATTTCGTCGAAAAGATGGGAATTTTTACAAATTAGGCATATGTTGAAATTTCCATCTCGTCACTAAAATTTACACCCGGAATTCAGCTGCTGGAGTGCTAATTCTTGTCAATATAGCTAAATCATCAAGGCACGGTTTTTCTACATAGATAATTTACAAACATGTACATACAATCTAGATTCATCATTCAAGATTCCTTCAGATTCAACTTTTGTATACAATATGAAGTCTTGAAAGAATATTTGAATTTTTAAACACTTGGAGATCCTCAGAGCTTGATCAACCTGAAGCCTTGGAAAAATATCCAGAGATCTTTACTAATATCTTTGTTTATATGGAGATCTTTTGAATATTTTCTGCTGTCAAGGAAGGATGTCTGAAAAAATATCTTATGCAACGTTTCCTGAACTTCTACAAAATTTCCTCAACTTCTATAAAGTTCCCTGAATTTATTCAAAATTTCATATTTTTTCTATCTCTCGTAATTAACGAAGATCTCCGAACATCTCTGCACTTTTGGAAATACATCTAAGGCATCTACAAATAATCTGGGGGGGGGGGAGGGGGGGTGGTTTGGTTGGAAATGCTAACATGAAGCTTTAGTGTGATAATTTATTAGCTACAGAATGATCTTTAGAAGAGGGTAGGTGGATAGTTCCGTTAGAGTACAACAGTATGAAAATTGAATAGAAGTTGAAAATGAGCGAAGGGCCATTAATGCGACAGTTGTAAAGTCAAACGCACATCCTGGCCCTTCGCTCATTTTCAACTTCAATTAAATTTGCATACTGCCGTACTCCAACGGAACTATCCAATTACCCTCTTCTAAAGATCATTCTCTAGCTAATAAATTATCACACTAAAGCTTCATGTTAGCATTTCCAACCAACTCTGAAAATCGCACTTCGCGTATGAAGTAATATAAAAACACGTTGAATGTTGAAACCTCTAAGAAGCTTTTTTGAAGTAAGATCTCCGCCAAACTGCAACGAAGTTCCCTAAACTGAAACGAGGATCCCTGAAGTTCTTAGAAGTTTATTGAACTATTTTTAGATCTTCTACAAAATTCCCTGAACTTTTTCAAAATTCCCTGAACTTTTTCAAAATTCCTTACACTTATATGAAGTTTTTAAGCAGCTCCTCAAAATGCTACGAAATTTGCAAAACTTCTACAAAGTGTGCTTCACTTTATTTGTTTATTTGTTATGGTTGCATCAACAGACTAGATAGTCCCAATGATGTGTTGTAAAAAAAAGTACAGATTATACAGACGACATACATATACTACAGTTACTGCAGTTACAAACGAAAATAACTAGGAAAGCATTGTCAAGTTACTAAAAAATTATAAGTCTTAAATTTTACACTTAGCTGTTGGGCATCAAGCGCCTTCGGTCAGCAAAAAAGGCAGAGAATCTTCGGCGAAGCATATTCCGTGTCAAGAGGAAATCGAACATCGACGCTACTCGGTTGAACACTAGCTGCAAGCCGTAAATAGCGCTCCCTATGCTATAATTAGTTCGAAGAAGTGGAAGGCTCAGCATAAGACTGTTGCGTAGTGATCGAGGTTGAACATTAATGTTCACTTGTTGCAGAATTGCTTCGCAGTCGATTCTTCCTTGCAGAGTATCGGCGACGGTTAAGGCTCTGAAAACATCTCTTCGGATACGTAAGGGCTCGATATTGATCAATTGGCAGCGATTCTCGTAGCTTGGAAGACGAAGTGGGTATCTCCAAGGCAGCTTACGGAGCGCGAAGCGAAGAAAACGTCGTTGAACAGATTCAATTCGCTCGGCCCCATTATTGTAGTTCGGGCTCCAGACAGCAGAGCAGTATTCCAACGTAGATCGTACGAGAGAGCAATAGAGCGATTTCAAGCAGTAAATGTCCGTGAAGTTCTTAGTAATCTTGAAGACAAAGCCAAGCATTCTGGACGCTTTGTCGACGACATACGATATATGGTGTGAGTATGTCAGCTTTGAGTCTAGAAAAACGCCTAAGTCTTTCACGCAGTGCACCCGTTCGATAGTCGTGCCTAATAGTTTGTAGTTGAAAATAATCGGTTGTTTCTTGCGTGAGAAAGTAATAACTGTACACTTAGCTGATTTGACCACCAGTCGGTTTAGACTACACCAGTCAGCAAAGATGTCAATCTGACTTTGGAGAGAACGGCAGTTGGCGAGTGAGCGGATGCGCAGAAAAACTTTCAGATCGTCTGCAAACGATAATCGTGGCTCTGTGATAACATGGTGAACGTCGTCGAAGTAGAGGAGAAATACCAATGGTCCCAGATGGCTGCCCTGAGGTATACCGGACTTTGCGTTGAAGTTTGCTGAGCGACAGGTACCCAAAGTTACTGTCAATTGGCGCTCCGTGAGGTATGAACGAAACCATCTCAAAAGATTTCCACCGATCCCTAGCCTATCAAGCTTAGCGATCGCAATTTCGTGGTTCAGCTTATCGAAGGTTGCCGTAAGATCTGTGTAGATAACGTCCGTTTGGGTCCGAGCAATCAAACTGTCTGTGATGTAAGACGTTAGGCACAGCAGGTTCGTAGTTGTGGAACGCCCAGTTATTAATCCGTGTTGATCTGTACTTAGATATTGCTTGCAATGCGCATTTAGGGACTCTATGACAACCAATTCAAAAAGTTTTGATACAGCACTCAGCGACGTGATTCCCTGGTAGTTGTTTACGTCGCGTTTGCTTCCCTTTTTATGAACAGGAAACATATCCGCAGTCTTCCAGCAAAACGGAAAGATGCCGCTGGAAAGAGAGAGCTGGAATATGCGGCGCAGTGGATCTAAAAGACAAGTGATGTTCTTTTTAAGAATAATCGACGGAACACCATCGGGTCCAGCCTTAGTTGAAGTCTTAAGTTTAGATGCTGCTCTAGAAATCGTATCTGTAGTGGCTTCGACCATGCTGAGCGTTTGGTTGATCAAAGGAACATTACTGGCCGCGGAAGTAATGATATTAGCGGAGAGTTGCTCGGCTTCAAACACACTAGCAAATTTGGCTGAGAACAGGTTGCAAATGTCTTGTTGATTTCCAGCAGTTTCACCATTAAAAATCATGAAAGAGGGTAAGCCGACTTCCCTGCGATGCTCATTTACGAAGTTCCAGAAGGATTTCGGGTGTGATTTTAGCCGCCGTTGAATCCTCCTTTGATAGCGTTGAAAACAGAGACGACTTAACCGCTTATACTCGTGGTTGAGTCTGACATAGTAGCATTTCAGTGGCAGTGTGCGGAGTTTAGTAAATCTTCTGAGAGCAGCCTTCTTAGTTCTTTTCAACGAGCGAAGATCTTTCGTCATCCACGGGACGCGAGAGTCGATATGGATGATCTTTTTGGAAACGTTTCTAGTTGATTTTCCGCAAAGTTCCACAAACGAAATTTCTTGAATTTGTACGTAATTTCCACTATTATTCCAAGGCCATGAGACTTCAAGAAAGTGAAAGTGAAAGTGAAATTATATAGAGGTTCCCGATCAATAATGAGCTTCCTGAAATAAAATAATATTCCCTTAACTTCTACGAAGCTCCTCAAACTTAGAATTGTCAGAACTTCTCCAAATTCTTTGTTTCTACTAATTTTTCTGAAGATCTATGAAGTTTATCAGAATTTCCTCAATTTCTACGATGTTCCCTGAACTTCTTAGAATTCCTTGAAGTTTTACGAAGCTCCCAGAAGTTAAAGAAAAATCCCTGGGTTCATGATCAATTTGTAGAGCCTGAAGACGTCTTATTATGCTATCGATTAAATTTTGATTTAATATAATTTCTGACAATTGTTTCTTTTAATCCAGAATATAAGAAAAGTAGTCAACTTAAAGGACTTTGATAAAATCTTTGTTTGTGAACCGATTTCATAAATCGCTCTTAAACAGTAACATCGTACTTGACAAACTTGACCAAATACCGGTGAGTCAAACAAAACATCAAAAATTCTGGGGAGGCCTGGCCCCCTTGGCATTATCTACGCCAATGGTCGGAAGATTCGATGGTGGTGTCGGTCGTATGTTAACGTGGATTTTGTTTTAAATTATATTCTATCAACCATTTCTGTTCTAAAATTGTTTGGGCGATAATAACAACTGAAGTTAACTGATGCAACATCAAAATCAACTTTGCGGATTTTCATCATATGGGCAGTAACGGTCGTCAGTTGCGAGCAATGCTTTAGAAATCCAATATTTATAAAAATTACCTGGATTCGTCGATGAACCAGGAAAGAGGTTGACAAATCTCGTGCAACTTTTCAAACAGATCATGCTACAGTTATAAATTCTTTCAATCGACTTTCTCTTTTGTTAATAATTCGGATACAAAAACGTTTCCTGCTGTATCAGACGTTTTGAGTAATAATGTGAATAGTGGAATATGAAATGATCGTTAGTACAAATTAGCTGAATAAGACCTAATACAGGCAAAAATTTACTTCTTGCTTATTTAACGTTTATTGGCTGTTTACACTTATGCTAGTTGACTAGCTCCACCAGCGCAAACAACTAGCACGAATTTCAGTTGCTCCTGAAATCTCATGCGGGTAGATGCTGACGAACTGTTTACATTATGCTGGCAGATGTAAACACCACATTAAAGTCAAAGGGGACGTTATTAATTTTTGGAAATTCTAAAGCAGTTTTTTCGTTTAAAACCGAAATTCTGTCAATTATAACGTGTTCACAGTGTCCGCTAGGCAAGTAGAATGCATTTTCATGAACGTAATTTTGGATCGAAAAAAAAACTGCTTTTGAATCCCATCCGAATTCTATGAAACTTCGCATAATTGTTTGCAAGGTGCAATGAACGATGTTTGTACCGGGATTCGGGTGGGGTCACAGATTTCTGAATCTTCCTCCCCTCAGAGCGTAATGTACTTAATGGATTGTCCCTAAATTTCCTCCATGCTCCTTTGATCTATAACAAGAGGCTGATAATTGCAAATCAAGGAGCTTACATTATTTACATGTTTTTGAAATCTGATGTCATTTTATGTGTCGCATGATAGTTTTAGTCAGAAACTCTCCACTTCCTCTGGGGCTCCCGGAACATCCGGATGTGACCAATGTGGTCTTGGGCACTGTATGGCTATCAAGAACTTTTTTATAGACTGCTCATGTGATTTGAGATCTTGCATGATGGGGTTTGGTCAAATCAGATCCTGGCCACTTCCCCGGGGGTTCCCGGAACATGTTCGGTTGTGAGGGCATTCAGTATGACCACCAAAGAACCGTTGTTGAATTATCATGTTGTTTGAGGTGTCGTATGATGGGTTTGGGTAACCCATCCTCACCGGAACATGTTTCGGGCATATCTCTTGAACCAGTTGACCAATTCTAAAAATATTCAATAGCGTTCAATGGGACCATAGTACCTTTTATTTTGCGGTTATTGCGTTCAATTCGGTTAAGTGATTGCTGATAAACATGAGCGTATTAATTTCGTTACACACAGATAGACATTTTCCTCGGATCTGAAGTTGGTTTTTCATGCGATATGTATTCCCTTCTCTGTAAGAATGGTAAAAAATAAAACAATTGCTTCAATCTATTTGTGTAATATTGCAGATTATCGCATCCTTTATTTATATCCAATCTATTTCCTTTATTTACCTCGGGATTATCAACTTCTTAATCATAAAACGGTTTTGCAATCATCGTTCTTAATTTTTTAGTTTAATTTATTATACCTCGATTTATTGTTGATCTATATTACCCAACAGTGTTTTATTCAGTATATATAATATATAATGTGAGTTTGTTGATTTCTATTGATCGTTTCTTAGTGTTGCTTCTTAGTATCCTCAATAAGGAGATAAACAAAAAAATCTTTTCCATTACCAATAACCATTGTATTTAAGTGATCAATCTATGTGGTTGATGCAAATTGTTGGTTTCACATTGCTTTGTAGAGATATGCGAACAATGTACACAGTTACAATAATAGGGAGAGGAATGTTTCGATCCTTTCCGGTCTTTATTTTCTGTTTGCAAGATCATTGTTTAGATTTGAAGTGAAAGATTGAGGAGACGCTAGACGATCAGAAACATTTACGAATATTAGATTCTAATCATATTTGAGTGTTTCGATTTATTTATTCTGACTATTCTACCCAAATAATAATAGTTTCTCTTTAAAAATAATGGACCAATGAAGATAAGTTAAAGTGGTTTAGGTGGGACAGTAAAATGTTCTGTATTAATTGGAAATTTTTGGGAATCTACATTGATACATCCAAAAATAATGCTTGAAAGCATAATAATAAAACATAGAGTTCTATGCAACTCAACATGAAAAAAAAAACATAAGGAATTGTTCAATCTCATAATATCCTCTTACAAAAGGGAGCATACTTAACTGATGTCAATTTTTGATCAATTCTAGACCTTCCGTAGAGTAAGTACCTTCCTTGATACATCGCCGGTCACAACATCTGCAGATAACCACCTCCCCACATAAAAGCTACGTCATTTATGCATGGTCCCCAAGAGCAAGAACTAAAATTTTACTATTAAACCATGCTTTGTTTGTGTACAATACTTGACGTACGCTACGGTATTATTAATATAATGCATTGTGAATAATATAGAATAGGCAATATGAGAGTTCTCTCTTATTTACGATTTCCCTGAGAGGTAGAAGATTTTTTGGAGATAGAATTATGTCAAATAACTACCTATAGTGACCATAAATTCTTATAAGGCATTCAACATAGAATAAGAATTTTATCGCTTTACAAAACAGAACATGTAAAATTTAAAAACCAAAAGCTCTAACAAATAAGGTCTAACAGTATTTATAACGAAATCTATAAGGATAAGGACGAACTTCTTCAGGGAAATACTTAAGTTATATTTTGACCATACATAAAACCATTGAATTATTAGTCATTTTAATCCCGGAAACGATGTTAATTTATTTTTTGGAAAGAAAGAAACGGAAAATTACGGAAAAAGCTTTAAAAATCTGTACACTGTAAAGCTTTACCAATTGCTTAACTGTGTATGGGTTGCTGGTTAAAAAAAAACACCAATGGTCACTAATGGAACTCACCGCATCTTCATTGATCTATTACTTTTAAAAAATTGTATGCCCCTCCTGCATGTAAAATCTGTTCTTAATTATGATATCAACATTACCGTAAGATACAATTGTATGCAGAAGCACCAGAACAAGTCTGATTGGTAGGTTTGTAATTAGACTTGATTATGAATAAAATACTATTTTAAGACAAGAAAATAAGAATATACAAAAAATACAAATCTTAGGTTCTAAAATTGTTTATACAAATAAAGTGACGTTAGCTAGAGCTTTGTTTTATCATATACCGTTTCTCTTATTTCTTTCAGCCCTTTTGTACAAAGACAATAACACGGACTTTTAATCTTGTTTGTGGAGAAATATCATGAATCATCGTTGTATTATTGTTTGTGGACAAGTTCACTTTCGTAGCAACCGATTCATCTCTTTGTTTTGCTTACCAATTTTAACGTCGACGTCGTCTACACGATTAGAGATGTCGTCAATAAGATCATTCTGGCTATCGATTTCCTGATTCAAATCCAGGGCAAGATGTTTAAGACGAGACAAATTTCCTCGCATATCGTCTAGGTTCTGGTCCAACTGATGACTAAAGCCCCCTGCAGCGCTGGTTGATCCATTTGTGAGGACCATATCTTGCGATTGATGATGATAATCAGGTCTGATTCGAGTGGCAGCATCTGGCCAGTAGTTATCGGGAATTCTGAAATCTTGCGGATTTGGATAGATTTCCTCGGAAGGTGACGGCGATATGTTTGTTCGAGGTATTCCAGTTGAACTGTTTTGCTGTTGATCTGGACCCATCCTTCCAGAAAGATAATTCTTGAGCCCTCCGAAAACGCTTTTTAGACTATTGAGATGTTTCTGACTGAATCTAAGTGAGTTATTTATTTCATCCAGTTGCTTCTTAGTCTTTTCCAGCTGCTCTCGCTGACGATGCAATTCTTCTGCAGTGGCAATTCCAACCTGTTCGGTTTCCTTTAACACACCCAAGCAACGTTGAGAAGTAGCCAGCGTACTTTCCTCCAGCTCTCTCCGCCTTTGTTCGAAAGTTTGTCGCTGCCTAACTATTTCGTCGTCTACATCTGAATCCAGCTCACTGTAAACGTTAGAACTAGGACCTGACCGATACACTTTTGAACTATTGTAAGGTGAAGTAGCCGCTGATGCTGCTGCTACGTACGGATCCACCCCATATCCGCTGGCAATCTGGCCTCCATAACCACCATAGCCTCCGGGTTCATTGTAAGGTTCCGGTCCAAGGACATCAGGTCGAGTGAAAGCTGTCCCCGCATTGCCTCCAACTACTGATTTTCCAGCGATTAATGCTGATGGGCCGTATTTGTCTCCATCGTCGGTGTCATAGTTTTGCGATAAGAAATTTTTCTGATACTGATCGTAATTATAAGCTTGATCCGTTGTGGGAGGACTGGTACTACTGCCAGGTCGCCGTGCGTTACGTAGAAATAGCTCGTCTTCGATATCGTCTTCGTCCGCGAACAAATTCGACGGATTCGGAACGTACTGGTGACCAGACATTGCACTGTTGGTAAATTATGATGGTGATTGCCAGCAAACGCACGTAAGCAAAATTTTCTCCGCGACGAATTCAACAATTTTTGCACTAAAATACTTTTATGTCGATAATACTGCTGACAAGTGACAGAGCAATGAAACTCAATGACAGTTAAGTTTTGACAAATCCAAGTTTCAATCGACCACCGTGACGCTGCAATCGCAGCGGTGATAAGTTCGAAATAATCTGTCAAACTGAATACAATTTTGAAATTTTAACCAAAACACTATTATTCTCTATTTATTCTAGCGAGTTTCTGTGGAAGTCAAAACATAATCCGAGCAAAAAAGTAGTGCTCGTAATAATGGCATATAATGCTAAATGTTGTCGTGCTTTGTTTCGAAAATATCTTCCAAATAAACAAACATCATCCAAATCACCCGATTCGTCCACCGACTAAATCTATTGCCACTTAAAAATTATTTTCAGATGGAGTAATAATCAGCAAATTAAATCGTTTTTCGTCTGGTGCTACACCGAGCAATCGGTCTATTTAATAGTTTTTCGTCGATGGATTTAGTCGGCCAACTTTGTCTGCTGTTTAATCGACAGATGATTTCAAACCATAACATGTTTTCTGTAATTTATAAGTCTTGAAGTAGCTTATTATTTAGGAACAATGCATTACAAAATAGTTTTATGCATTTTGTACAAGATTCCTCGATGAACATTTCAAATAGTCCTATCTGCTTTGATCGATTCTCTTCATCGACTTTCTCTTTTGATAACGACTGCTATGCAAACAGATTTCGCGCTTATTTTACAACATAGTTTGATAAAGGAGATTCTTATCTAGCATCCAAAATGTCAAATACAATAGGGAAAGGTTTTACAGCTGAGTAATTAACGAAAGAGAAAGTCGATGAAGAGAATCGATCAATGCAGATAGGACCTTTTGAAATGTTTATCGAGATTCATCCATGCTGACAAGAAATGTGCATGAAATTACATTGAATTTAAACAATTTTGCAAACAATCATTGAAATTGTCAAGGGCTGTCACAGACTTATCACCGTCTGTTAGTGCTTATTCCTGCCACCAGGCGCGCAGAAGTCTATGTTGGATTTCTCAAATTCAAGAGCAAATTTTCATTATGTCGTAAGTAACATTCGCACCAATCCGAGAAAAATAAAGTTTTGTTTTGATGACCGAAAAGTTATTCCTATTTCCAAGTAAACACATATAATCTCATAGTGATAGCAATGTTTAACATATTTAGCAGGGTTTTAATCATACAAATGCAAATCGCTAGCTTTTATGCTAAAAAATACTGGTTTTTGAGTCAAAAGTTATTATACGTCGTTTGGTGGCCCCTATTGTTGTTATATTTAAACTCAGTGGGAAAATTCACCACCTGAGGGCAGCAGTGGTTTATCAGAAATTATTCTGACTTAGACTCAGTGGGAAAATCACCACCTGATCCAATGAGAATTCTCAGAGGCAAATCTGCACCTCCTGAGATAAGCTCTCTCTTTTACCCGCAAATAGTCTGTCATCAATAGAACGCAATTTCACTTTAGAATGAGAATGCAGTTAGGAATAATTCCTACAACTAATATTCTCTATTATCAAAAGGTTTATATCAGATACATTGTTATGCTTACATTGAGTGTATTACATTTCATGGTCCTGTTCTACTAGCGACTCATAAACGGTCCTGACTACTTCTATTATATACTTCTCTCTTCTTATGTACCGAGTGGCACATCGGCTGCCTCTGCGGTGTCAGTGTGTGTGCGTTGGAAAAGCAACGTGCCTACCATCCTATATGCCCTCTTACAAATTGGAAATTGTATTTTAACAGTTCCCCTCAATTTTCAAATTTAGCAAATTAATTAATCTTTCAAATTTATGACGAGAAAGGGGCTTCGTAAAAAGTCTGCTTTCTGCATTTCACTACAGACATATTTTAGTTCAATCTTCTTCTCGCGAATTAGTTCTCGAATGAACATGTATTTGATGTCAATATGCTTCGTCCTTTGATGACTTCGTGGTTCCTCTGCTATTCTTATGCATGGAATATTATCTTCATTTATGGTGAATGGAACCGATTCGATACCAATCTCACGCAATAAATTAAATATCCACACACCCTCCTTGGTTGCTCCACAAAGTGACATGAGTTCCGCTTCCGTTGTTGATAGGGCCACTGTTGTTTGCTTTTTCGTTGACCAAGAGACCGTGTTACCATACACAGTGAACAGGAATCCTGAGATTGATCGTCGTTCATCCTCGTCGTTTGCGTAATCTGCGTCAGCAAACCCTTCGAGTGGAGTTCCATCGTTTCTTCTGTACACCAGGTGCATCTCCTTAGCTCCCTGGATATATCTGAGAATTCGTTTGAGTCCCGTCCAATGGATGTCCTGTGGCGAACTCTGAAATTTAGCAAACACATTTACTGCATAACATAGATCCGGTCGTGACATCAATGCCAGGTACTGGAGACCTCGCTGGAGACAACCCAATAGAGCCTTGTAGGGTTCGTTGGTCAATTGTCCTTCAGTTTTTGACCACCTGGAATGCTGATCAATTGGGGTAGAAATAGGATTGCAATCTTGCATTCCAAATTGATGTAATATTTTCTCTACATAGGCTTTCTGGGAAATCGTCAAACATTTGTCATAATACTGGATATCTAGGCCAAGGAAGTTTCTCACTTCACCTAAATCCTTCATCTTGAAATGCTTGAAAAATTCAGCCTTGATCCAATTCACCATCTCTATTCCCGTTTTCGTTCGAATCGTTCGTTCGTATACACAAAAAATAATCGTTAATAAAATTTAAAAAACCATTGGTAGAAATAAAAGTTCGCGTTGGTTCTTTTTGGTAGAAAGCGGTGTGCTTTCAAAACGACAGTCAGCCAGCTCTCAAATTAAAAGCCTTTTTTATTGTTAATTTTAAAAGTTGAAACTTTCAAATTGAATTGTAGAACTGTCAAACCGAAAACCTAATGCTTTTAGATTGGCGTTTCAAAAGTATTGATTCAAAAGACGGACATTTTATCCCAATTATTTAAATTGTCATTTAAAAAATGAATAATTATTGATTCAATTGCTTTTATGCTTAAAAATAATGAAACCCATATTAATGTTTATTTAAAGTATTTTGTATTATATTTCTGTTTTTCATTGAGCTTCAGCAAGGGCTACTCAGGCCAAATCTAACTACAAATCATTTTTCGTATGAACGCTTGTATGAAAACAGTCGTTTCGTCTTGCCTCCAGGTGTTCAAATCGATTCCGATTCGAAGATCTCAACACTTACCGCATTAGTTGAATTCAGGCAGATTTATGAAGAGCAGAATACATTGTTGGCCACTTCTTGACGACTTCTATGATCCTGAACACTTTACCGTAAATTCAGAGTAATTTTCTCCTCGGTTGTTTTTAAATTTAGCGGCAAATAAAGGTCCAGTGCTGCCAAATACATTGCTAAGAAGTGGTATGTTTGACAGTTGAACAACTTTTATTTAAAAAAATGAACTTTTAAATATATGAGTTAATAAGTGAAAGAAAAACTTTCAAATCAAAGATGTTACTTTTGTTTTGAATATTTTTGTTATTAAAGGTACGAAGTTTTGCAAACTTTTTAAAATAAAAGTGTATAATTTTTACCATAACAATTTTTGTTCTTTGTGTGATATACGAACGACTCGATTCGAACGAGTTCGAAAACGGCATTCTGGTTTTCGTACGAACCCGTTCGAACGAAAGCTTTTTCGAAAATAAACAGTGTTAGCAACATGTTAGTGGTACCAGATGCACTTTGACATTTCTTAACAATTCGAAGCATAGACCGCGCACGAAATTGACATTATTCGGTCAAGTGGACTGTCAAACGATGTCAACAAAACAATAATATTGTTGAAATTTTTTGGTTGAAAATTTGAAAATCACACTGATTTGAAAAGATAACTTCCTGATGTCTTCTGAGAAGTTGTTAAGCAGAAAGTTGGCCACCTTTTTGGACGATTCAGTTTCCGGTAGGATACAAGTCTGATCCTGTGGATGATCCGGAATATCCGTAAAAGTGGTCAATTCATGAAACTGATCCTAGAAATCCGCGTTTTTTAGAAACCACTCATAAACGTCTTATCAGAATGAATTCGGAGTTGTGACCGAAATATGGACACTGGGGACTACAGGATGGTCCACTAAAAGAACCAGAACATCCGTAAAAGTGGTCAATTCATGAAACTGATCCTAGAGCTCCGCGGTTTTTTCAAAACCACTCATAAACGTCTTATCAGAATGAATTCGGAGTTGTGACTGGAATATGGACCCTGCGGACCACGAGATGGTTCACCGGAAGATCCGGAACATCAAAAAAGTGGTCAATTCATGAAACTGATCCTAGAGCTCCGTGGATTTTTCAAACCACTTATAGACGTCTTATCAGAATGTATTTGGAGGGACTACATGATGGTCCACCGGAAGATCCGGAACATCCGTAAAAGTGGTCAATTCATTGAACTGATCCTAGAGCTCTACGGATTTTTCGGAACCACTCATAAACGTCTTGTCGGAATGTATTCGGAGTTGTGTTCAGAAATAAGTATATGAAGACTACAGGTTGGTCCACCGGAAGATCCGGAATATCCCTAAAAGTGCTCAATTCATGAAATTGATCCTTGAGCTCCACGATTTTTTAGAAAGCACTCATAGACATCTTATCACAATAAAATCCGAGTTTTGACCAGATAGTTTATACTGGGGACAACGGGATGGTCCATTAAAAGATCCGGAAGATCATCAAAAATTCCGTTAAAAGTGTCTAGAAGTTATTTATTACTTAAATACCACCTACACACAAAAAATAATCGTTACTAAAATTAAAAATACCATGGGTAGAATTAAAAGTTTTCGTTGGTTCTTTTTGGTAGAAAGTTCGAAGCATTCATCATAAAAATGTGTAAACTTTCAAATCAAAAGTTTAAGTCTTCGTTAAATTCAAAAGTTGAAGCTTTTGAATCAAATTGTAGAACTTTCAAAAGGAAAACAAATGTTTTTAAAATGAAGTACGAACTGTTTCAGTTCAAAAGGAGTCGTTTTTATCATGACAATATATGTTTTATCTCAAATTTGAAATATTA